CTTTAATCAGACACTGTTTGAATATTACAAAATTGATGTCAATGTAAGTCTATGTTATCAATTACTTTTGCAGTTTTAGTAAATTTTAGTGATAGCCTTCAGCTTGGAGTACGTGGACTAAATGCTTATGGTATGAAAAATAACAAGAAAGTTATGTTGTGTCACATTGAAAGTGGATAGTTGATCGGCAGCTGCTTGCCAATATCGCACAACCACATAATTTCAGTCTTTTTCCATCAAAAACTGTACTCCCTCCGACCCATAATAAGTGTCGCATCTTTGAGCTAAGGTTTAACTAACCTTAATTTAAAGCTGCGATACTTGTTTTGGATCAGAGGCAGTAGAATTTTCCAAATACAGTTTGGTATCCGAATTTAGATAACTATTCATCTTCGGTAGCAAATATGAACTCCATATGTTTATTGAAGTTCAAACAGATATATCTAATTTTATTCAAGTGATTTTAGTAAAAATGTGGCCGAAAATGTGTATCTCAGGGCTAAATGTTCTAAAATTTTAGAATATTCCGAATACAGATTGGTATGTAAGTTTTGATATCATTTTAGCTTTGGCAGAAAATATGAACATATATTTCGATTGAAGTACAAATAGAAATATGTAAATTTACTAAAAAAAACTGGTCTAACATATTTTTCCATAGAAGGCCTCGGTGCGAAAACTTACGGCGGAGCACGACAAGATGTTTGGTTTCTATTCTCTTCATAGGCACCGCGCCATTGTCTTGCAAAATGTATGATTTATCATTTGGTCCGCCTTATTACCATCGCATCTCCATCACATACGTGGTTCTCAGGCCAAGGAAAAAGGTGAGCTTTATAGGATAAGGGCGTAGCTGTCAAAAACTGTTTCACGAGTCTCCGTTGCCCAAATTTGGGGTGTCGTAGATATTGCTAAGTTCCCCATGGCTCCTACTAGTACGCTTTGAATCTATAGAAGATGCATCCCGGGCTGGTATATTGAAGACTAGAAAGTCGATGTAAGTTGGTTTTTTAACTTTGCCCAAAGAAGTTGGGTTTTAATTCCTTGTAGCAGTGCAAGGTAGGAGGTGTGTGTGAAATGAGAGAGCGGAGAAGTTTAATGACCTGCGCGGCAGAGGTGGCCGTTGGATCCATTTAATACGCCAGCGCTATTATACACATCTACAACATCGTGGCCCATTGATTTGGTCCATGCTTGCACAATGCTCTGCCGACGATTTGAGGAGCTCGATGTGCCGACCAAAACAACGTGGGTGTGTCTAGAGACGGAGGGAAAACTTCCAGAGCTGATAGCATTGTAAATTTAGTTACCACTCCCTATGTTCATGAATAAGTATACATACAAATTAAAGTCCATTGAAAAGATAGAAGTACTCCAACCTCATTCCTAGTAGCGCCACTTGTGGATCAAAAGACCATAGATGGGAGCGGTGCAACGCACCCATATTCCGCTATAGGATCCGGATGCGCCAAAGCCATTTGCATAATAAAGTCGATATTTTATAACACAGAAGCGGAATACAGGTGCACCGTGCCATACATAATACATGGTAGATTTACCCAAAAGACATGTCTTCGTATAAACCAAATTAATCATTAAAATGCAGCCCTGAATATTGCATCAATGAAGGTGATTGAACGGTGGCCCTGCACGAGCAAACCAAATTAATGCACTCAACCACCCCACAGTCTGTCATTGTAGGAGTACATGTCGTTATTAATCTGCGCTGCACACACTAATGAACCACACTCCACCGCTAGGTATGCATGCTTGGTCGATCAATGGGCCCAACCCAACATCCAACCGTCTCCCAAATGCTTTAATATACCCAGCAACCTAATCCAACATCCAGCGACAAACATTTATGCATTGGCTCACACCAATCGAATTTATCCCTGTGGACGCAATACTTGCCACAATCATAGTGTACAGTTTACTTACTACAAATGGTATCACATGTTGGTTAGCAGCTCTATTTAAGCCCATGCACCCCCTACGAAACACCTCACCGGTACAATCACTTAGCAAATCTAGCCCATCTCACCATCTCCAGCTGAGCTCAACACCACTACTACTGCAAACTCAATAGGGATGGCTCGCGGTGCAGCTACTCAGCTCGTGCTGGTCTCCATGGTGGCCGCTATGCTCCTCGTAGCCTGCGATGCGGCGATATCCTGCGGTCAGGTGACCTCTGCCTTGAGCCCCTGCATCTCCTATGCACGCGGCAATGGCGCCAACCCGCCTGCGGCCTGCTGCAGCGGCGTCAGGAGTCTGGCCGGTGCAGCCCGGAGCACCGCTGACAAGCAAGCAGCGTGCAAGTGCATCAAGAGCGCTGCTGGTGGGCTCAACGCTGGCAAGGCCGCCGGCATCCCTTCAAAGTGCGGCGTCAGCGTCCCCTACGCCATCAGCTCATCTGTGGACTGTTCTAAGATTCGTTGATCGACCACTTCTTCTCATCATCGCTGCATATAGCTCCAGCGATCTACGCTGAGTACGTTGAGGTCATACACATACATATACATATATATGAATAAGTGCTCTCATATTATCTCACTGCGTGACAGCGAGAGGAGTACCTACGTCCGGCCAGCTCTGCATGGCAGGCCACACTGTTGTATTGATGTTTGGTTGTTCCTTCACCCTTTTGAGAGGACTCATGAGTTTGTTCTTCTTTGTACCGTGTGCACTTTTGATATATGGATCTTACACTAGTAGAAAAACACCTAATAGTCCCGGTTCGTGAGGGCCTTTAGTCCCGGTTCATGAACCGGGACTAACGGGCCGTTACTAATACCTCCACCCATTAGTCCCGGTTCAAACAAGAACCGGGACTAATGTGCCTCCACGTGACTCTGTGCGCCGAGCCCAGTCAGGGGGCCTTTGGTCCCGGTTGGTGGCACCAACCGGGACCAAGAGTCCATGTTTTTTTTTGGAAAGTGGCTGCTTTAGGGGTTTTGGGGGTTATTTTTAGGTTGTTATATTAGCTAGCTAATAGAGAGAAGTGTCCTCTCTTATATCTTCGTCCTTGGTTTACCAACGCTGCTGCTATATATGTTCATTTTACCCGCTGATATAATAACTCATGCATGCTCGCATACATCAGCATATATAATAACAAGTACTCGTCCTACTAATCATGCATCATCATACAACTTCTACTCGTTATTAATAATAAGTCATACGATCATCATCCTCATAGTCATCGAACCCAACCCTACATAATTGTTCTTAACACATGATCATCAGTATCAGGTAGGACCTAAACACCCTTATGGTAAAATAGCATAAAACAATATAGACCCTGACTCTCCATTATGAAGAATGGCGATCATCCTGTCTCCAATTTTTCCCCTTCGCTGAATGTTGCTTCCAAGAAGCTCCTTACGACTGTCCATACATTTTTTCCATTCTTTGATTGTCATGTCTCCACTTCTATTAGAAACCCGGTATGGACAGTTCAGATTCATAGGAAGACCTGGTTGTATGTTCAAAACATGAATGCTACCGTGTGTATACATCAGATGAGACACACAATCATTCGGGATTATCTGTTGA